AAATTCAAAGAGTGAATACTAGAAGGAAAGATATTTTGACAAGTCCAGAAGTACACACTTCACAATGTTAACTCCTGATCATCCTTCACTATCACCGTCATTTTTAAGTGCATTTTAATTAACTAGAAGTTTAAGCAACCAAAAAAAAACCAATAAGAAGTACAAATTTGCTGCATTAAAAATCGTGAAATAAAAGGTTACTCTTACGCGTACCACAATGCCATGAAAAAAAAACGTACAGTACAAGAACAGAGACTGCAGCTGAACTTCGACCCGCAAGAATCCGATGGCCAATGACAACAGTCAACGAACGACCACATCCACCTACAACCAGATGGTGGCCGTGGCGAAGAAAATTCTTGCGCACGAATTCGCACTTCTTCTAAGGTTTGTTCATGACGACGGGAGGAGGACTCAATCTAAGAAGGATATTTGACCATACATATAAAATAAGAAACCACGATTACGAACCTTTTCCTGAATGCGCTTTCTAAGCGACTCGTTCTCTTCAGCATCAGCCATTCGTAGCTCGCTTAATTTCTCTTGTTGCTGTTTACGCCTCTCGTTGCGTAACCGTTCTTGCTCGTTCTTCTGAGCTGCAATTTGAGCATGACGAGCCTCTTTTCGTTCAGCAATTTCTTGTAAACGGGTTATACGATCCTGCAATCGTATTAGCTTAGCGTATAATCCACTACAAATGATAAGTAGAATAATATAAATGCTCTAGAAAAGTTAAATGCAGGAAAGTACCAGCTCCGCTTGTTTACGCCTTTCCTCCGCAGCATGCTCTTTCGCTGCTTTTTCCTCCATCCTTTTGGCTCTTTCTTCTGCTAGCGTTTGCTTTCGTTCTTCAACTCCCGCATCTCTCATTCGCAAATCCAACAACATGTTTCCACCTTGTAATGAGTTTATGAACTGCACTTCCAAGACCTACAACGTGGCATTTGAAAGAACGAAGCTGATTCTGTAGTTTCTCACCTTCTGCTCATCGTCTTTCGCTCGCCGTATGATTTCAGTGATGTTCTTCTCACGATTTTCCTGAGCCCTCTCCATTCGACTTTCCAACAACTGTTTTTTCCTTTCAATAACTTTCTGGCGCTTCTCGCGAACCTCTTCTACCTTAAAACAGGGAAATTGATAAGATGAACAATGCAAAGGTGAAAAGTACCATAATCTAAAAGAACAAGCCAAGTAGTACCCTTCGAGCAAGCTCTCTCAAACGCGCAGTCTTTTCAGCTTGCAGCTGTTCTCTCAGTTCAGTAGCTCTTCGCAATTTCTCAGCGTGGCGTAGAGAGAAATCAGCATCATCCTTTTCACACCTGAGGCAAACATACTGAGAAGGCATTGAGTATCCCAAAAACTTCACTTTAAATGGATGAGCATCAAAGCACCAGAAAGGCGAGAAAGACGAAACAAGAAGAATCATAACGACGTATTACCTCCTTCGGCTAGGACTGCTCATCTTCTCATGGCGTTCAGCAACAGTGCCCGGCTCACGGTAAGGTCCCATCAACTCTCTACCGACCACTTCGCTCCAAGTTAAAATAGGGCGCCGACGAATATCATCTTAAAAAGGGCTATACTATGCGACTCTAATCGAGATTATCCCCCGATGTGTATACCGTGAGTTCGGTCCATATTTGTTTCACTACTAGGACTAGAGTCACTGCTTGAAATTTTATCCTGAATATTAAAAATTTGCAACACTTCGTAAGGAC